GGAATTCAGCAGGAGGATATCTGGAATGTTGATGAGCATGGAATTGCGTTAGGAGTATGTGTCAATACACGGGTTATTGGCAAGGCTGGAAAGAAGCGTACCTATAGGCAATCACCAGAAAGTCGTGAATGGGTATCGATTATCGAAACAATCAGTGCTACCGGCAAGGACATTCACCCTGTTGTGATTTTCAAGGATCAAAATATTCAAACATCGTGGTTTGAAGAGGACAATCTACCTAACTGGTTGATTGCAACATCGGGCAAGGGATGGACGACAAATGAAATTGCGATGAGATGGCTCCGTGAGGTCTTCCTACCAGAAACGATTCCCAGTACTGCCAATTACCGAGGCATACCACGCCGACGAATGTTAATTCTGGATGGGCATGGGAGTCATGCCCAATTAGACTTTCTTTGAGAATGCCGACAGGCCAATGTGGAGCTTTTATTCCTGCCTGCACACTCTAGCCATGTCCTCCAGCCTCTGGATCTTGGTACTTTTACTCCTCTCAAGTCATAATATCGCAAGTGTATTATGGAACTTGCTCAATATAGCGATGCTGCTCCAGTGAAGAAGAGACGCTTCGTACAATGCTATCAACAGGCATGGGAGGAAATCTTCAACCCCCGGTATCTACGTGTTGGCTGGAAAGCAGTAGGACTCTTTCCCTGGAACCCTGAGAAGGCCCTAAACTCATCCCAAGTCTATCCCAACCAACCAACCTCCGATCAGATCTCCCACTCGGAGCCCCCTCAAACTCCCAAGCTATTACGTACAGTTCAAAGTACTCCTCTGCCACCCCATGACCCATTTCATACTCCAACCCACCCTCACAATCTCTACCGCACCATCAAATCCCTAGAAGCCACTGGAGATATGACCAGAGATCTCAGAACTGTCTTGAACAAGACAAGTAAGGCCTTCAGCCACCTTACTACCCAACATGCATTTGTTCAAGCCTCGAATCAACAACTACAGCAGCGATTGAAAGAGTTGGAAGATAAGTGAAAGAAAAAGAAGGTTCCAGTAGACCCTAATCTTCAATTTGTAAATATCGAAAGTATTAAACAGGCTATGGAGGAGGCAGCAGTGCAGGAAGCCCGGATTCAGGCTAGAAAACCAGAGGAAGAGGCAAGGCGAACCTCTTCTGCACTCATAGCAGCTGATATGCAGCAGTTTATGTCACAATGGCAGGTTTAATATTTCAGAATTATTTAATGTAATTTTACTTACTTGTTGTTGTGGAAAGATTGGGTTCATGGGATTGACTTGATATTCGTTGGGTGGCCGGCATCCGGGGGTGGCCGGCATCTGGGGTGCCTAGCTTAGCCAAAAGAACGGCAGCAAGGCTTGGCGGTCCGGGCCGCGTAAATAAATTTCATACTATCATAGATCTTTTATTCCATCACGACAACACCCTCTTTCAGAAACACATCGTCCTCTCCGACAGAATATCCTAACAAACAAATCACCTCGCCAAACTTCATTAATCGTATGTCTTCCTCTGAATTTAGTGTTTGTACAATGGTTAACTACACCCAGTGTTCCCAACGGGCTAGGCCAGTGATAGGTCGGCCTACAGGCCATAGGCTAGGCCAAGGCAGGCCTCCCTGACGATGAGCCTGGGCG